GAACCGCTGACCTGCTGATCTAGCAGTAGCCTGCAGTGCTGCATTTAACCACTGCGCCACCTTGGCTCTAAATCCTTCCATTCCCCACTATCCAGTCAGAGCTGAAGGAGCTTCTTGGTTGAGAAATGAAACATCTTCAAAGGAAAACAAGGAAGTCCAGTTGCCTCTTGAAAAAAGCACCTTTGGGACTATTTCTGGTCAGTTATCCATTTGGCATTTAATTTCATTGGATTTGGATGCTGGGAGAGAGAGGATTCTTTTTTTCCCCCCTTGTCCTCTTCGTTTTCTGTCGTGACTTTAGGACAGGGGTGTCAACCTTGGCAACTTTAAGATCTGTGGACTCCAAACTCCCAGAATTCCCCAGCCACCCTCGTGTGCTATCTTTTATGATGACTTTAGTTCTAATTCACAGAAGCGGAAATTGAAAGAGGGAGGTGAGAAGGTGAAGAAAAAGAAGAAAGATGACAATTACGAGAAAGAGAAGAAATCGAAAAAATCGAAATTTCCTAAAACTGGGTAAGTCTCTCTCTCTCTTTTGAGATACGGTTTTTGAAGTTGAAATGATTGTCTTGATCATTGGAAGGGCGTGCAAGTTTAGGGCGGGATCAACTTTTCAAGCTGCATTGTGAGATCTAAATTCCAGTCCTCCTCCTGATCAACTGTTTCTGACAGTAGACTCAATCCACTGCACAATATGTTGATGAAGACTCAATCATCCAGGCCAAAGGTGTCCAAAAGTTAAAACATGGCAACTGGACCAATCTCTCTTAATCTGAGACGTTTTTGTTGCTCATCCAAACAACTTCATCATTCAGAGCAAAATTATTTAGGCAGAGAGTCAGAGAGTTGTTGGAATGTGCCAACTCTGGCCACACCAACCTTATTGCAATGCATTTTGGGGGAAAACCCCTGGAATAGTTGTGGCCAGAGTTGATCTATTCCAGTGACACACTGATTCTTTGCGTAGTTAATTTTGCTCTGACTGATGAAGGGCTGTAAAAGCACTGTAAAGCGGTATATAAGTCTAAATGCTTTAGCTATTGCTACATGCCACTTGCGTGGCACCCGAAGTTTGATCGTGTGACTGTAGGGTTGTTGCAACAGTCACAAGTGTGAAAAAACGGTTGTAATTTTTCAAGGCTGATGTAACTTTGAACGGTTCTTAAGCAAATGATTGTAAACCGAGGACAGACACCCACACACACTCCGCCTGTGTAACACTTTTCTCCCTGCTGTGTATAACTAACCTGCCTCTTTTACAGTTTCACAGCTCTGAATGCCAGCAAAGAGAAGAAGAAGAAGAAATACTCAGGGGCCTTGAGCGTCAAGGAGATGCTGAAGAAATTCCAGAAGGAAAAGGATGCCAAGAAGCAGAGGGACGATGAACCCAAACTTAGCATCCCCTCGTTGGCCGAAACCCCAGCTCAGCGGGAAGCGGAGTCTGTGCCCGACCCCCTCCTCTCTCTCTTCGGTCACACGAGTGACAACGAACTCCTTCAGGCAGCCACAGCCATGGACTCCCTGACCGACCTGGACCTGGAGCAGCTTCTGAACGAATCTCCGGAGGAGAGCCCTTTCCTGGAGATGGAGAATGGGAGCGATCCCCTGGGAGCAGGCCTGGAACCGGACCTCAAGCAGGTCCCTCCCTCCCTTCCCGAGGGGCTTCCAGAACCCCTGATGAAGCGCGTGGAGGAGCTCACTCAGGTATTGCACATATATCAAGCAATGCAGGTCGTCTTTGACTTAAGAGCAGTGTTAACTTGTCATCTTTTGGAAACTTCACAAGCGGTCACTTAACTACCCTTTGAAGTTATGACCAACTTCAAGAAGTTATTTGACGGATCAAAGTGGCTTGCCAAGAGATGTGGAAGTTATCAAACTTGGGCCTATTTTGCAAGAGGGAAATTTCTCATGGTTGCAACTCTATTTGTCAACTAGCGGGGGTATAATGTGTCTTTTTGTTCTGCGTCCTTTCAACCTGCATCTTTTTAAAAGGTTTAGTTTGTGTAGTTTCATGTTGTCTTTTTATTTATTTTTTTGCTTTGGTATTTTCTTTGTCCATTTTTTGAATAGCAAAAAAAGTTTACTATAAAAAGGGAAAAAAGTTATTTACCACCCGTCTTGAAGTTACAATTGCTGTACCAGCCCCATGGTCACGTGATTGCATGTTGAGGGTTGGCGCATGTCTACAGCTGGTTGCGGCATCCAACAGTCATGTGACCATGTTTTGCTATGCTTTTACCCTTTCCTGGGTGGCTGCAAAATTCTGGGAAGTGATCCGCCCATCGTAAATCTGCCAAGGTTGGGAAATGCTTCTTGAGCTGGGAACTCAGGTATGTTTTCACACTACGTGCAGGTAGTCCTCAACTTACAACCACAGTTGAGCCCAACATTTCTGTGGCTCAGAGAAGCATTTGTTGAGCGAGTTTTGTCCCATTCTACGACTTTTCTTGCCACTGTTGTTAAAGTGAATCACTGCAGTTGTTAAATTAGTCAAACTGTTGTTAAGTGAATCTGGCTTCTTCATTGACTGGTCAAAAGGTCACAAAATGGGAATCGCCTCACACACACACACACACACACACACACACACAGGACACTGCAACCATCATAAATGTGAGTCAAGTGCCAAGCATGTAAATTGTGATCACATGACCATGGGGATGCGACAATGGTCGTAAGTGTGAAAACTGGTCATAAGTCACTTTTTTCCGCTGCCGTTGTAACTTTGAACAAACTGTCATTAAATGAACTGTTGTAAGTCGAGGATTACCTATGCTGCGACTTACTTGCTGAAAGACTCTGCGTTATGAACAGCTATTTTGAATGAGAAGGGAAGAGAATTACTTTGCAGGGCACTGTAGTTCCAGAGAAGAAATTAGGGGTTGCAAAGCCACAGTAGAACCAACTGGCATCATTTTCCTAAACGTATTAAAATCAGAGGAAATGTATCATTAGTTGATTTAACCCCCACTTGTGTAGAGAGGCCTTTGGGTTTCCTGGATATCTTGATCACGATAATAAATAGGAATTCTGCGTTCAAAATCCAGTCTTCCGCATGATGATGAGGGACAGGTGAGGACGGAAATATTTTGCTTAGCTTGCTGGTCTCCCTTGAATAATTCTGGTAGCTATTTTGGGAAACGACACATTGGAACATAGCCGTGATAGCGAACCTGTGGCACGCAGAGACCTCTCTGTGGACACGCCAGCCGTCATACCAGCCCAGCTTCACCGCGCATCTGTGCGCGCTTCCCATAGGCCAGCTGGTCTTCAGGTCTCTGTAGCGCATACATGGGGGGCAGGGCGCATGCACCAGGGTGGGGGATGCTCACATCCCATTTTGGGGTCTCGCACGCACTCCTGCACCCTCTTTGGCTTCCTGGTTGGTGCAGGGGGCCTTCCAGGCCCAAAACGGGGCACCGGAGGGGGAAGGGACCATTTTAGGCCTGGAGGGCCGCCTGCACCAACCTGGAAGCCAAAGATCGGCAGGGTATGGCGGGGTGCACGGGAGAGGTCGGACTGCATTGCATTATGGGTGTGGGCGCGCTTTTGCCACGCAACAACGAAAAGGTTAGCCATGACTGGAGTATAGGCTAGCTTTTTCCCTCATCATCTGGTGCTTTCCATATACAGGTTTGTCAGCGCCGTTCTGTTTTATTGGGGCTGTGGTCTTTTGACCTTTGAAGCCATACTTTCTAACTTTTCTCTCTTTAAAAGAAAAAATAGTCCAGCTTCTTCCCCTGCTCCCCCTTCCCCAGCCTGGTGTCACTGTTGCCAAGGTGGCGCAGTGGTTAAATGCAGCACTGCAGGCTACTGCTAGATCAGCAGGTCAGCGGTTCAAATCTCACCGGCTCAGGGTTGAC